TCCTCCCTGTTCTGTCATTGGTTGTTGTTTCACGTGTGTCTGAATTGCCTTCAGCCATCAGCTATTACGGCGCTGATTATGTTTGTATATATACCGCGCGCCTCCCAGCACATGGCACGGAATATTGTATAAGATAAGATATAGTCATAGCTTATGTTTCATGTTTTGTATCTCGACCCTGTTTTCCGTGACCATGACATAGTTTCCAGCCTTGCTCCGTTTATGCCTGTTTGCCGATCGCCTGACCTCTTGCATGTTTTGGATCACGTTTTGGATTTACCTGCCTGTGTCTTTCATCAATAAAACTGTTAAACTGCGTTTGCATCCATCCTATCTTCCTTATGTCACAATACATGACAGATGTCTAACTTAGCCAAAATTTCCACTGTTGGAGTGTGTGAACGTGTCTGAGCACTGACTGGTGAAGAAGAATAAAAAAACTATTTTATTCATATTTAATCTATTTCATCTCCATTAAAATTATTTGTAAAGTGTTAGATATGACACTGTTGTAGGCATATTTAATCTTGTTTTTTTTGTTGTTTTTTTTTTTTTTTAGAACAGAACCCTTATCTGTTTTTCTTTTTAGGCTGAAAAAAACATTTTTGACCATTTTAGTCTGAAATTTTTGGTGGTATCTTTTGTACAGTATGTTGGCTAGGTTGAACATCTATTGGTCGATTTTATTTCATATTAATGAATTCAAAACTGTGTTTACATACTGTGAGAGAAAGCAAATGTGTGAGATGGAGGCATGGGGGTGGGGCTTCCAGATGGTTTCAGTTAATATTGGTGAGTTCAAAACACATGCCCAAATCATTCCAGATTCATATGATGACTGACTCATCCACCATTTTATTGTGGAGAAAAAGACTGCTCTTTTGGTATTTTTGTGAGTGATAACTCCTACTAGTGTCCTTGAATATTAAAATTCAGAGCTCCTGCACAAAACATGTAAAGGTTGTCAGGTCTGGTAATATTATATAATCATGGAATGTAAACATGACATGAGCATTACCGGCTTGAACCCTAACGAAATTTGAAATCACAGATCCAGCTGCCGATCTGCACCACATCATTCAGCCTACTAGATTCTCCTATCTGATATCCCAACCAACCGTCACTCATGTTGCTCAGGGCCTTTATTATGTTTTATGTTTAGATCGAGGGGTGAATTTGAGCATACCAATAAAGTAGTTTAGTCAGTAAGCTTAGTGGAGAATTTTCTCACCTTATTCATAGTCAGATTTGTATAGTTCGTGTCTTTTCACATATTTTTTTTTTGGACTGCTGAAGGACTGGAGTAGACAACAACAATGATATAAGCCACAAAGCTGTGAACCTGTGTGTGCTCTGTGCAAGGTTTCATGCATTTATGGAGCTCCACAGCATGGTGTTCACATAACTGCTACACAATGATATCGTTAACTGAGGAGGCACATATTGAAACGGCTCATGTTAATACAAGCACTAGTCTACAGCAAATTATTTGTTTGTATTGTATTGAATTGTTATTTGTTGACAAGTAACTGAAGTTATAAGTTTTAATATCTGGTATTTGGTTTCTCATGTATTCTTTTTGTTGCCCGTTTTGTAGCTTAAGCTATTGTCACAACACTGGAACCAGAATGTGTTGCTCAATGTCAGCTTACTCTGCTATTACATAGGCATAGGTGTCATTTCATTTCTTCCATCCATCCATCCATTTTCTGTACCGCTTATCCAAACAGTGTCTTGGGGGAGCCTGGAGCCTAAGGGGAATTAGGGCACAAGGTGTGGGACACCCTGGACATGGTGCCAATCTATCGCAGGGCACAATCACACTCATTCATACACTACGGACAATCTGGAAATGCCAGTCAGAATATAACTCATGTCTTTGGACAGGGGGAGGAAACCCCCAAATCACAGGGAGTACAAGCAAACTGTGGCGATTCCAACTCCCAACCCTGGAGGTGCGAGGCAAACATGCTAACCACTAAGCCACCGTGCTAAAAGCTCCCAGTTAAGCAGATTGTTTTAAGTTTTCAAAGTTAATTACACATACATATATACATATACATACAGAATACATGTATTTTACAAAGACAAAGATATAATGATACAAACATCTGCCAAAAGGTTTTCCTGCTTCATGCCTTTGTTATCAAGCTCCAAAATTTCTGACCCCCTGTTTGCCTATAATAGCTATCACTAAAAAAAAACAAGAGGTTTTGACTCTATCGCTGGTTTCTATCATTAAAAAAAATGTGATGAGCTAAAGGTGAATCATCAGAATATACAACAGTATCAGTTCAAACCACTCATATTCTTATGAAATGGCTAATTAGGTACTAGTAACTGCAGGGCATAAATAAAAGACAATTGCAATCAAATATGTAAAAGAAAAACCTTGAATCTACTCTCTACTGAACTGTTTACACGCCTGATATATTTGTGGCATCTGACTTCCCTTAAACACAAGCCTCTTTTGTCTGAGACTGGAAATCCCGGAATTTCAAATTGGACATTATCGCCCTCTGCTGAACAGGTGCAGTACTACATCAAAGACAAAAAAATTGTCTATATGATAAGCAAATTTATTAAGAAGATCGATGCCATACCGTAGAGCCAGGAGATGGAGAAACGAGAGAAGGCGTCAGAAAGAAGAATGGATGAATGGAATTTTTGCAGCTGAGAGCAAGAGAGAAAACCAGACTGAAAGAAAGGAGTCTCAGGGTTGTTATGAACAAGCAGGTGGTGATGAGGGATAATCCAGGTAAGACTTTAATGCAGCAGAGAAGTCTGGGGGAGGTGAAAGGAACAGAGGAAGGTGGAGAGGTTGCTAATTTTGGACTACTAATCCAATCCATGTCCCTCTCTCTCCTACTCTTCTTCTTCTGAAGAAGAGCAAGATAGAAAAACACTCCACTTTGCTAAATTTGGCTAGAACAAGCATTAGAGGTGTGGACTTGACCACAGCCCACTTGGACTCACCTAGATATACACTCCATAGCATGTAGCTGGGTTCTTCTTCCTTCTTCTCTCTTTCCTGCCTGCTCTCTTTCCTCCTCATCATGGGTGAAATCCAAAAGGTATGTCTGCTCAAATCTGGGGATCTGCTCTTAACAGGCACCGGCATGCTTCAGTAAGTGCTAATCCACTCCGACCAAGGCAACTGTGACAGGGAGTCCAAAATTACTTTCACGTGTGTGGATATAAGGAATTTACTGATGAGAACTGTGCCACTACAAATTTGAATTTAAAATGATTTGCGTTTAGTTGAATTTGTAACTGAACATTTGTAATTGAAATTGTATTCAAAGTATTGCATTTACATGCAAGACAATTACGCGTAGACAATTCAAAGTCGATTTTTTTTTGTGGCAAAATCTATTTCAAATCCAGATTCACATTTTCAAATTTTGCATCTGGAGACATCTGAAGCAAAGGAGCACAGATTCACTCACCACCATTTCAGCTAATGAGCCAGTAATGTAGAGTTTTGCACATTTGTTTTATATGAGATTGTAGAAAGTGAATATATCTTGAATATAGTCACATTGACCTGGTATTTCCTATCAGAAGATTGCAGTAAACGAAATATAATCTTACTAAACTTATTTCTAAATAAGTGTGAAATTGTCTTATTTTATTGGCAGATCATTTTTGCTTCTTTCTAGAAATAAATGAGTATTAAATTTTAGTAAATATGGCTGTAAATAGGCTTAATAATCCTGTATTTGGTTTATCATAGGCAATACTAGCTAAAATTCCGTATATTCAAGGTCATTTCACTTGCTCACATGTCATTTCGTTTGCATCTTGTTTTGGATTTTGAATCTGAACAGAATTTGAAATCTTGCATACATTGCAACAAATTATATATTAGCAAATAAATATCTAGAATATATCATATTTTAATATATGTTGTTACTTTGTATATTATGTTTGATTGTTTGAAGTCAAATATAATAATATTAAGTCTACTTCAAGCTATTTATACACATTTCAAGTTTAAAATGGTCTTATTCTATTGGCAGATATGTATTTTTTTAATAGATATTTTTGGCTTATTTTAAATGTTTGTTTCTATTATCCACCAACAGAATTAGACCATTTTAAGCTCAAAATTAGTAAAAATGTCTTGGGCTTAATGGTCTTATATTTGGTATAGCAAAATCTCAAAAAGATAAATATTAGATAAACTTTCCTTTACAAATTCCAATAAATGCATAAAAATTCTGATTTATACATTTTAATTTGCAACCTGTAGATACACATTTTTTATTCCATATGAATTAGGTATATTTTCTACTCCCTCATCCATTTTTTAAACCCTTCAACTGAGCTTTCTGCCTCAGGGTTTATTTTCCGTCATTGAGAAACTAAAGGGCACGACAGAGCAGGAGCTTCGAATCGTTCTTCTTGGCCTGGATAATGCTGGGAAAACCACCCTACTGAAACAGCTCGCCTCAGAAGATGTGAACATGATCACACCAACTCAGGTAAGTTGTGGTTACACTCACAGTCAAAAATTGTCCAAGCTCTGGTTTCAAAAGCATAGTGCTCCAAATCAATTTAGCTAATTGAGACATAAGGTAATGAAAGTAGTGTGACCTACAGCCTAAACATATTAACAGATACAGTATGAGTGATACACTGAGATTTTATAAATTCATGTTTTGTATGTTAATATACTGGCAGAACAAAATAATATTTAGTGTCTGAATTACTAAAAATAGTAATGAATTACAAACAATAGTGTTGGCAAGTGGAAATATCTTGACTTTAGTCAAATCTATCTAGTGTTTCCTATTTATTTATTTTTACTTTATTTTTTTTCAATTTATTTATAAGATTATAATAAACCTATTTCTGGACATTTTCTATTAATTTCAACCTTTAAATAGTCTTCTTTTGGGAGATTTTTTTTTTTATCATTTTCTCATTTTAAGCTTTTATTTCTAGAATTAGAAGCTAAATTAGCTACCTATAGATTAAGAAAATTAATAAGAAGTTTCCTGGTGGTCTAGCGGCTAAGGAGCCAGCACTCTCACTGCTGGGGCCTGGTTTGATTCCCGGACAGGAAACCCCAGCCACTGGGGGTTGGACTCAGTAGTGGTCCCAAGCACGGATAAAATGGGAGGGTTGCGTTAGGAAGAGCATCTGGCATAAAATCAAATCAAATCACAGTGGACCAATGATCTGCTGTTGCGACCCCTAACAGGAGCAGCCAACAGAACAACAGCTAATCTCATGTGAAATAATATTGCTCACATTCAAGAAACTTTCACTTGCTAAGATATCTTTTTGTTTTCTTTTGTTTTTGCATTTGAAGCATCATATTCATATTGCATATAGTATAGTCTTGGTTCATCTCTTAAATAACACAAACTTTTCATATTACAACCTGTTAGATTGAGGTTCAGTTACTAACAATTCTAGCAGAAATTCCAGTTACACGAATGACAGTCAGAATCGTGGAAGAAACAGTACATTAGCTTAGAAATACGTCAAGTTCAGCTAGGGTGAAATGTAACAAATTCTTAAAAGAGCAAGCCAAAAGTTACCCTCACTGGAGAGACATTATACATAACAGGAATTACATTAGTGTATCGAATAATACAGATGGGAAGCTTACTGCAACTTGTAGAGAACATGAGGACAGCACTAACTTCTTTAACATTATGGTAGCGAGACTGGTACTGAGCAGGAACATTTATTCAACTAGATTAGATATATAAAGTCTAATAATTTTTTAAAGGCGCTGAATATACAGTAGATCATTGGCTGAATCTCTATCTGTGAGCTTGAGTGAGGTCATGCTGATTGCAAGCCATGAGGTCTATTTTGGTCATGTTCTGGACCAAAGTACAGTCAGCAAAGGCCATATTTAGATGACCTTCTTAATGATTTCCTTATGGCTAATAATACTAATGGACTATCCACATTGACTGGAGCTTTATTAGTCAGACAGTTTTGTCTGATAGCACACTAACTCCCTTTAAATCTAAACAATGGACTATTTCAGACCCAATTTCAGAATTAAATATGGTGCCCAGTTCCATAATGAGCAGGGTCTTTGCCACTACACAGGAGACCTGATTTTGAGGACAGTGGATCAAGCAGCGTCTTTAATCCTGCGTTTGAAGATTACTTAACCATAAACTGATGCTCGGCTGGCTACCTAAGGATCAGCTAAATGTAGTTAGCATCTGCCTGTAACTGTTGTTGTTGTTGTTCTGTAACATTGTAGGGCTTCAACATTAAGAGTGTAACCTGTCATGGCATGAAACTGAATGTCTGGGACATTGGGGGGCAGAGGAAGATCCGCCCCTTCTGGAAAAAGTATCTGGAAAACACAGATTTGTTGGTATGTTGTAACATGTTGTAGTTTGTTGTTTTGCTTTATATTTTTTGAGTAAAGGTAGATTTAAACTGAAGATATTAGCTGGTGCTACTAAAGTGAATCCATTGATTTGAAAGGATAAACAAGAGGATAAACAATATTCTCCACAGAACCATATTAAAAGTCATAAAAAGATTTCACCCCTTGAACTTTTCCACATTTTTTAGTGTTCCCACCCAGAATTGCAATGAATTTTACCATTTGCTTCACACAATATGTCTATATATTTGAATGTGCAAAATATTTTAAAATGACATTAAAAAAAATGTCTAGATCATGTTTCTTGCTAACTGGAACAGGTTTTCTTCTAGGATTATCCTGTATCCTACAATCCCTCCCTCAATCCTCAGCAGTTTCCCAGTCCCTGCTGAAGAAAAGCATCCTGACAACATGATGCTACCACCACCATGTTTCATTGCAGGGATGGTACTCTCGGGATGATGGGCATTGTTGGGTTTCCTTCAAATGTAGAGCTTTGTGCCAAGGCTAATTTTTAGTCTCATCACTCCAAAGAACCCTTTTCCACATTTGCTGAGTCTCCTACAATGGATTTCATATGGCCTTTTTTCCCCGTTTGACAGTATGAGCTTTGTGGCTTGTCCAGGCATTGGTTGACCTGTGAACCTCTTGTGATCTTCTCCCATCTAAGCAGTAGATCTCTCAACCTCCTTCACTGTTACCCTTGTCCTCTTGGTTGCTTCTATGATTCCTTAATAATAAGGAGTCAGTATTAATATAACTCTTTCTAATACCCTTCTTACCCCATCACTGATCTTGGCAGAATCTCGATTATGCCATATTGAGATCATGCAAAACTTTAATTTCAGACATTCAACTAATAATGCAACTTCTGATGGAAAGTGGTTGTACAGTACTGGAACTAGTTTATGGGTTTCACAGCAATGGGGTGAATACTTGTGCAATCACAATTTTTATGTTTTTAATTTGTAAATAATTTTGCTAACTATATTGATTTTTCCCACATTTCAATATTATGGGTAATTTTGTGTAGATTCATGATATATCATTCCAATAAAGTTCCAGGTTGTAACACTACAAAATGTAGAAAACTTCAAATTCATGCAAGGCACTGTAAAGTACCATGCAAAGTTCTACCAATGTTTTTTTCTTGGTTTTAGATTTTGAAACTAGTTTATTTTTATTTTTCCTCCAAATGTTGTCAAAAGAGGTTTACAGCCTTGTACCCAGAATATGACTCTTTTTTTCTCCATGACAGATCTATGTCATCGACAGTGCAGATAAGAAGAGGTTTGAAGAAACAGGCCTGGTGAGAACAACCAATTTATATACAGTATATAGTGGATATGCACTGTACATACAATGGATGTAGTAAAAGTTAAGCATAGTACAAAATGTTTCCAGAGAAACAGGACATTTTGGACAAGTGTTCATGAGCTAAACATGCTTCTTAGGCTGTAGGAGGTGAAACCAGTAGATATTCAAAATGGTGCCTTATAAATTGTGCATGCTCAGCTGTCCATGGTTTGAAGAAAGAAAAAAAAAAAAAAAAAAAAAAAAAAAAGTGCAGCCATTTATTAGTTACTCATCTGACAGATGGGTTTATCTAAAGCAACTTTAATTATAAGTGAAACAGGATGCTATCCAAGCACAAGATGTTGAGGCTTAGGGGTCTTGCTCAAGACAATGCTGTCTTAGAATTTAAACTCCCAATCTACCAGCAATATATTTTTCTCAACTGCCATCCATGTAGGAGCTCTCAGAACTGATTGATGAGGAGAATCTGAATGGAGTGCCTCTTCTCATCTTTGCCAATAAGCAAGATCTGACCACAGCATCAACAGCCAGCGAGATCACTGAAGGGCTCAACCTGCACACATACCGGGATCGAGAGTGGCAGATCCAGGCCTGTTCAGCTATTTCTGGTGAAGGAGTGCAGGTCAGACCATACGGTTCAACAAAAGCAATACAGTGGAAGAGTTTTCATAACATTGTAAAACATTTGCTGTCAACCATTAGAAGAACTTTAGAAGAGCAAATTAATCCAATCAATATCACTTAGCCAATGGCCTTTTTAAATTAGTTAGGTTCTGCATTAGTTCACAGTGTGATGATCCAAGCAAAGAGAGTAATTTTATTGCATTCTCTATACATAAAGTCAACAATTAATCAGTTTTTAATAGTTGTGAGTTTTATTAGGCTATGATTCTTATACGCTGTGTGTCCAAAACAACATAATTGTTTTTGTGTTCTTTTATTTCTGCTTTCTCTTAGGATGGAATGAACTGGATCAGCAACAATATTGTAAAAAAGAAGAAATAAAGCTGCTTGAAAATATATTTATTTTTTTTTGTATGTAAAAAATAAAAGCTCTGTGATCTTTCTACACAAATGCAGATGTATTCAGATAGATCAAACTGACTTCCTTCACCGCTAATATTTTGTAAGCTATATAAACTGAATTCATAATGACTGACATCAGGGAGCCTTCAGCTGTTTGATATACAGTATATTGAACTATCTGTGGAGAGATTTTATAGAATTCTCTATGACAGGATCTCAGTGACTCATTCTAGCAGCAAATAATGATACAAACAGAGCTGTAACCCAAAAAGGGATGAGTCATGTGTCCAAGTGTGGTATTCACTAGAGACTACAAGTTATACTGTATGGTTAGTTAGTTAGCTAGATAGTTAGTTCTGAAGCCGTGTGAAGGAGGAACCATCTCAAACTGAGAGCCTTCTTTCCTGACCTGAACTCTTGTCCCCTCAGTTTTATTTGTGGGTTCCATGGGCTCACATACTGTATATAATAACCTGTGAGTGTGTATATATACACTCACCAACCACTTTATTAGGAACACCTGTACACCTGTTCATTCCTGCAGTTATCCAATCAACCAATCATGTAGCAAGGCAAAAATCCATGCAGATTCTGCTCACATCTAACATCAGAATAGGGAAAATGTTATTGGAAAAACATAGCCTGTGGCTGACAGGAATGGAGCCCGATGTGGTCTTCGGCTGTTGTAGCCTATACCCCTCAAGGTTTGGTGTGTTGTGCATTTTGTGATGCTTTTCTGCTGACCACAGTTGTAAAGAGTAAGAGTTCCTGTAACTTTCTCTTCTGATGTTTGTTGCTTTTCTCACCATTCTGTGTAAACTTGAGAGACTGTTGTACATGAAAATCCCAGGAGATCAGTGGTTTCTGAAATACTCAATTTCCCCCATTCTAATGTGAACATTAACTGGAGCTCTTGACCTGCATCTGCATGATATTTTTGCATTGTGCAGCTGCCACGTGATTCGATAATTGCACTAATGTGCAGGTGTTCATAATAAAGTGGGCAGTGAAATATATATATATATATACACACACACACATACACACATATACACACACACACACACCGTTCTTCTTCTTTTAAATATACATAACAGTTTTGGAAAATATAACAAAATGTTTAAGAAAAAAAGTTTCTCCTGCTTAGTGGCTTGAAGTAGAAGGTAAATAACAGATGACAGATTGAGCCTTTTTGTGTCTTCAACTTTACAAAGTTCTGTTAAATTTTAGAATTGTATTATTCCATCGTATCTAAAAATGTACTAGAAGTCTTGTCAACAACAGCAGGATTAACTGAATAATTTGTTAGTTTACCTCCCTGATTACTTCCTGTCAGAAAAAAGACCCTGTAAATTTAAA